TTGTATTTTTCTTGTATTTTTCTTGTATATTTCTTGTATTTTCTTGTATTTTTTTTGTATTTTTCTTGTATTGTCTTGTAAGTTGCTTGTGTTTTTTTTGTAATTTTCTTGTATTTTTCTTGCACTTTGTTCGGCTGGCTTTTCTGCGCTCGTATTTTTCTTGCATTCCCCGTTTGTATTTTTTTTGTATTTCTTCTTGAATTTATTTAGTTTTACTAAAACCCAATACTTCTGGCACCACGCCCGTCACAACCTTAAGGGGCTTACCCAATCCAAGCATCCAACCAAGCAACGCCTCAACAGCTTCTAGTATAAAATGTACTGCCACGCCAATCCCAAAGAGTCTCGCCCCTTGTAGCTGCCCTCTCCACCTTTCCCTTCCAGTCCCGCGAAGAAGGTGCTGTGCAGAATTGGCAAATTCAGAAGCCATTCGAACGATGTGGCGTTTAGCCCAAAGCCTCGAATGGCACGGCATGTTGGAGTGCCCTTCCCGACTGGCATTCCAGTGTGGGGGGTAAATGAGGAGAAGTTGACGCAAGCCTGCTGCAACACAGCAGACGCCGATCCGCCAACAGTTGTTGAGAGAGTCAGCATGAAGGCCAAAAAATCAGGCAAGCGTGCTAAAACGCCCTCTAATGGTATCGTCCGCAACACTCTTGCTGCGGGCCGGAGTAAGAGTTTGACTGCTGTCTGGTGTCTTTTGCCTCTGAATCGGTAGCTGTTGCTCCTCGCAGATTTCCTGATTCAACCGGCCCGATAATGTGTCGCATCGTGGAGGTCCATTTGCTGATCAAATGATCGGGAACAAAAGACCCAAAGCAAGAATGCAGCCTTCCTTGTCCCATCAGTGGTTTTGACCTTGTGGATCTTGGCGCCCTTGGAAAAATTTGAAAGTGGGGTGAAGGGGGCGGACGCCAGATCCGTTTCGCCCCATGCGACAAAAAGAGTGCATCCGAGCTTTCAGGCATGTGGGATCCGTTGCTTTGCGATTGCACCTTCATGTGAGTGCTGAGCTTTGCAATTCCCTTTCAAGACATCTTAAGAGTTTTCTTGGAGGTTTGAAAATCCTTTTATGAAAAGGGATTCAGTAGAAAGCAAGCGCATCTACGATCCCTTTTTCATTTTAGGACAGCGAGGGTACGAGCGTTTTCAAACTGAGATTTTCTTGGACATATGCCGTTGGTCACCTGTGCAAGCTTTGAGGGCACAATGCATCACTGCCTGTGCGCTTGCGTGTGCTTGATGTGCAATGCAGTTTTGTGGGGTCACGTTTTGCTTGACTTGCGTTTTTCCTTCATGTGCAGAAATTTTCTTGAACGGGTTGCCATCCCGGCTTGCAACGCAGCTCAAGTGTGAGCGCCAGAGAGTGAAAATTTTACCCACCCACCACTCCCTGCTCTGGCCCGGGTGCCATGAGCAGTTGTGTGCACTGCCGTGCTTTGACCTGCTTGACAGACTCTTCAGTGTCGGCCCTGCAGGGCTCGTTGGTTTCACGCCGAATCCGTAGAAGCTGTAGCCACAGCTCCGTAGTGCAGTAGCCCGTAGCTGGCGTGCGTGCTACTCTCCCACCCGCCTCACCCACGCCCCCGAAGGGGGCGGACGCCAGATCCGTTTCGCCCCATGCGACAAAAAGAGCGCGTCCGAGCTTTCAGGCATGTGGGATCCGTTGCTTTGCGATTGCACCTTCATGTGAGTGCTGAGCTTTGCAATTCCCTTTCAAGACATCTTAAGAGTTATCTTGGAGGTTTGAAAATCCTTTTATGAAAATGATGATCTGGCAAACTCTCGCATTTTGCGACTCCCCTGCATGCTCTGCACTGCTTGATTTCCCAGGAAGGAAGCCTGCGAGTAGCAACAGCAGCGATTCCGAGGGGAAAAACTACCAGACAGCAGTCAAACCCTGGCCTGCAGCAAGAGGAAAGGCCAGCGCGCGCCCCATGGTGGTCAGCCAGTGCGGACTTGACAGCAAGAACAGCGGATGCAAGACCAGTCCAGGGCACACCATGGTGGTTAGCCAGTGGAGCAACTCCGAGCAACAGCAAACACAACTTGCGGCTCTAATTGAAGTCCGATCCAAAGTCCCAACACCCAGGCACAACTGTGCCCAGTCCGGCCACATACCCAAGTAGAAGAAGGGTGTTTTTTCTAAATTCCACCCCCCGAATCTTTTATTTTTTGTATTTCTTTATTTGAAAAATCAGAGGAGTAGTGATGAAACGGAGCCTTCGAAGTCTCCTTCGTCCTTGCCTTTTTTTTTGAACCGTCGCCTCTTTACTACATCAGCAGCGCAGTAGGCCGTTCTTGTGGGTCTTAACACTAGAGGTGAAACAGTCGCAGGCACGAAAACCAAAGCACCACAAAAGCCCGCAGCAACCCGCCAAAACCAAAGCGCCAAACGTCTAGGTGTCCCGCGCTTAGTACTCGAAGTCGTCGCAGAAATCCAGGTGTATTTTGCTTTGAGGCTCGCAAACACTTGGGCACCGCCAGTCTCAAGAGTTCAAGCAAAATGTACCACCTGTTCATTTCCTCGATGCCATTCGGCAGGTCCTTGCTGCCTTTGTTGCAAACCAGGACATTGAACACTTCTAGTCCATCTACAATTTGGAGTGGCCTAACACAACCGCAAGAGTTGCGGTTTTCCTCTGGCGCGCACGTGCTGCCTTTGGAGAGCCTTCTTGCGCCTCAGGCCTTCAAGGCCTCCTGCGATCCCTGTCTGTGGACTTGGGGGAGTCCTTGGAGGTCCACCGCATATTTGGTTGCAGGACACGTGGGCAGCTGAGTCTCGGGGAAACCTAAGACTGCAGGCAGCCCGACTGCTCGTCCCAAGGGACCCTTCTGAGAAGGCCCTTCTGGTGAGACTCAAAGGCTAGCAAAAGCGCCCCCAACCAGTAGTCTGGATCGGAGAAACACAGCATGGCCGGACCCCTGGCACATCTGCGACAGCAAAGAAAAGTTCGAAGCCTTCAAAGCCCCCTTCGTCTTCACCTTCGAAGGCTTCGAAGCCCCCTTCGTTCTCACCTTCGAAGCCTTCGAAGCCTTCGTCCTCACCCTTCGAAGCCTTCGAAGCCTTCGTCCTCACCTTCGAAGCCTTCGAAGCCTTTCGCCCCCCCCCCCCCCCCCCAACCTCCCTCCCCTTCAACCCTTCGTTTTCGAAGGCTTCGAAGGCTTCGAAGCCCCCTTCGCCGAAGGGGAACGGGATCCAGCCCCTGCTCAGCACCCTTGCCATTTCCACTTTTGTTTTCTCTATGTTTTCTTGGAGGAGTTCCTCTCTCAAAACCAGATGTCCATCTTGAGTCGAACGCGTTCTTGTCAGTGGAGCAGTTCATAAGCCTCTTGCACATGCACAAGAGATGGCAATCTGGCCAAATGGGTTTGCTGCGCAACCTGCAAACGCTTGAGCTTTTGGACTTCCGTCCCTAGATGCTGCCGCGAAACCTTTGGAATGCATCGGCATGGAGTGGGGCCACGAGTGCACACAAGTGGCATCTGTGACAAGTGGCATCGTCACAGGGAACGGAATTGTTTCTTGCCACATGGGACAGTTTCTGGCAGTAATGCATCGGCCAAAGATGTTCATTCCATGTCGGTGCCAGTCACAGCCCTGCTCGCATCCTGGCACCTCACTTGGAGGATCTACTGTGAGTCCCTCGAGGCTCTTCAAGCCTTCAAGGCCTCCCACAACCCAAGAGCTCGGCACGTTGGCAAGGTGACAGTATTTTTTTGCACTTAAAGCATGTCTCAATTGTAGCTGATCCGTCGAGAAAGATGGAGAAGAATCGTGGCGACGTGACGTCACACTAAATTTGTCTTGGTGGCACTCAGACGGTTTGAGTTTGAGTTCTTCGAAGATTTGTTTTTACGCGGCCATTTGCGCGCATTTGCTGAGTCTCTGAAAGGTTCGTTGTCCCCCTTGCTGAAATGAGCAATGAGTCTTGCAGGGCCGGTTGCTTCATGTGCATCCGAAGAGAAAATTTTCAGATTGAGGCTGAGTGCAGCAGACGTCGTCTCTGATATCCAGCCATGAAAGTTGAAATCGTTAGTGACCATGTGTGAAGATTCGATTAAGCAGTGATTTTTCTGGTTTTCTCTGCTTGCTTGGCTTGCTTTGTGTCTGCTCGGCTCAAAAACGCTGATGATTCAAAGAGGTTTCTGACAGACACGTTGTGGGGGTGTTGGATCCGTCAGCTCGGACGATTTGTTGTGCAATTCGTCGTCGGCTCTGCCGTTCGTCCCGGATGATTTGTTGTTTTGTTCCGCTCAAAGGGCGTCTGTCTTCAGTTCGAAAGGGAGTCTCGTTGTCCTTGGACGGTGGGTTGCTCGCAGAATCTTGCATGATGGGGTCTCGCAGAGAATAATGCGCAGAGTCTTTGGCGGGTTGTGCGTCGACGTGGGACATCTTGTGGCTGCTCGATCTTCTTGAAATCTGCGTTTTTGCTTGTTGGATGCTTTGGCAACTCGGTCCAAATTTTGGAGCGTTCACGTTGATTGCCTTCGCGCCATATCTTCTTCGGAGGTGGTTGCGATTTGGAAACTAGTGCAGTTTTCTGGAAGGTTATGTTCGCTGAGTTCGGTAGCGTTACCGACTGTGCCGCTTGGTATGGCGGACTGAGCATCTCGTGAAAGTCTAAGTCACTTGGCGGCTGCGGCGCAGAGTTGATTTCTTAACTGAGAGCCACAATCACAGCAGAAAAGTTCTGAGAAGATTTGCCTTGTTTCTCTCATGTGTGCGTTTGTAGTTGAAGCTCCAACTCGCTTTATCGATTGTCTCGAGCGCTTGTGCATCTCGGAAGAGAAGTGTGATCTGCATGTGAGCCTTGGAAAGGCATGTCATGTTTCACTCGCAGGGAAGTAGGGTTAGTGCAAGCACCCTTTTTACTGCTTGATCGTGTTTTTCTTGGCGGCTAGATGCCCTGGATGTAGCCTCCTTTCTCGGGGCTTGAACCTCAGGGCGTTTCAAGCTCGAAAAGATCTTTCGTAGAACCATAGCCGATCCCTCAGCCATGGCGATGCAGGTATTGGCGCTCGCGGGACTTCTCGGTGCTCTTGCAGACGAGCATTGCTTGCTCCAAAGCCACGCCCGTCAAGATCTTCGGGCTCTGCGAGAGCCGGTTTCCAAAGTGCCGGAGACCCAGACAGCGCCAGGCGCATACAAGGACCTCCTGCGCAATGCTTACCATGCCTACTCAGTTCTCATTGATGCTGGTTCCAGCAAGACGAAAGTCGTGATCTACCAGAACTTGACCGAGATGAGTCTCAGCAAGGAGCAGAAGGAGACCTTGAAAGGCTTGAAGCTCACAGCGTTTGAGGACCCGTGTGATGCCGTGGGCGAAGTGCAGAAGTTGTTGAAGGCCGCCGAGGAGCTCATTCCCAGCAAGGAGCGATCAGACACGCCTGCTTGGCTCCGGGGCACGGCTGGGTTGCGGCTCTTGGATCCCCTTCGCACCGAGGCTTTGTCATAGTTGGGTAGCATTTTTACATTCTTAAGGGTACTTTAAAACCCAATAAGGAATAACAACTTGAAATTTTTAATATCATCCCAACCATGAACTAGGATGCTGTCATGGCTTGTCTCAATGAGCGGATGGTCAAGCCTGGCGCCACAGATATTGACTGGCAAGATGCCAAGGTGGCAAGTGGAGACATGGAGGCTGTGTATCCTAGTAGTAGAGTAGGTAACCTTTAACCTTTTTTGGGGTAATACAATCCCCTTCTATTCCCAAAGGTTCACCTTCTTACTTCCCCCAGGTTACTGGACAACTAAGGTATGGCTTCCTTGCTGCACGGCACATCTACGGAGACGTGGGGAGCCTGGAGATGGGGGGTGCCTCCGCGCAGATCGCCTTTACCCCAGACACCGCGATCTTGAACAACGAGTTCGTGTACCAGCCGGGGAAGTCCATCTATGCCAAGAGCTACCAAGGCTTTGGGCAGGATCAAGCCCTGAGGCGCTCCTACGAGCTGCAGATGAAGGATCATCCTGGGAATGTCCTTCTGCACCCGTGCCTTCCCAGCGGCAAGCGCTTCGAGTACGGCTCTGAGGGGACCACCTACGAAGTCATTGGAACGAGCGATGGCCCGTGGTGTGAGAAGATTGTTCTTTCTCTGATGCACCGGGACTATGAGTGTTTGCAGAAGCCTTGTGCAATCGCAGGGGTCTACCAGCCAAAGATCTCTGGGAAGTTCAAGGCATTCTCCGCCTTCTACTACATGGCTTTGGGTTTGGGCGTGCTCCCTTCTGACTCGTCAGCCGTCCCGTTGAGTGCAATCAAGAAAGCGCTGGGCCCTTTCTGCAAGAAATCCTTCCAAGATCTTGAGGAGGAAGGATCCACGAAGTATTCTCAATACTATTGCTTCAATGGCTGGCTTGCTTACAGCATGCTTTCCTCCTTCGGCTTCGATGACAATTCGACAATGATCGAGTTTGCCAACGATGTCAGTTGGACCTTGGGTGCTTTAATCTACTTGACAGGTACCTCTTAGGCAAGACGAAGCCCGGACCGGATGTTTGGGTATCTCGGGCTATCTGCTGCGCAGGGTTGGCCATGTGAGAATCACACGTCATTCTTTCGGGGTGCTGCACCTGACGGCGCTTCTTTCCCAAACGTGGCTTTCCCTGTGCCCCCAGTTTCATGATGACAAGAGACTGCCCGATCTGTTAGCTCGTCTTCTATACCCAGAAGCTACAGCAGATAGACCAGATGCAACACAGCATGACGCTCCATTCGGCCCAGCGCTCTGTGGAACAAAAGGCCGTTTGCTGAATCGTCTGCGTTGGTGAGTCCGAGACCACAGGAGAGTTCAGGAGTGCTTGTGGCCCACCGAGTTTCTTCATCTCTCTTGAGCTTTCAAACCCTACACCTTAAATCCTCAACCCTAAACCCGAAACCCTAAACCCGAAACCCTAAACCCTGAACCCTGAACCCTAAACCCAGTCACAAATAGGTTTCCTGGGCTGCATCTTGCCCTGATGTTCGTATTCTGGCTCGGAGGCGCAGGTGGGAAGGGGGGCGGGCGAAGTTTCATCAGTGAAAGGCCCCCCGGACGGAGTTTCTGATGCACTGCATGCGTTTCGGGATTCATGCCGACAATGTCATGATTCGTGATTGTAATGTGGCCATTGGACCTGTGGAAAGCGGTTCGAAGCTCCCAGGAGCAGCCGTGTCACGGGCACTATGGCCAGCAGCACCGTTGTTCATGAATGTTAGCCCAGCCCAAAGGGAGCGCAGTACATGAGAAGAAGTCAACGCTGGTCTGTGGGCCTGACACAACTGAAGAATAGAGTTGCTGAGAGACCGAATGCTTCGGCCCATGAGCAGTTGGAGGGCACAGCACACCAAGTGAGACCCTAAACCCTAAGCCCTAAACCCTGAGCCCTAGACCCTAAACCCTAAACCGTAGGAGAACTGCAGTGCCTGAGCCTTTCTGCCCTGTTCCGTTCCGATTGCAAGGTCCAGAATCATGACCACTGTTGTGCCTTCCATTTGCGCTCGAACAGGCCTCAGAGTTTTGAACCTGTGAGTGCTGGAGTCGTGTGCCATTGCTGTCTGTAGGTGCTTGTTTTGAACGTCCAGTTTGGGCGCAGAGAGAAAAGAGAGAAAAGAGAGAAAAGAGAGAAAAGAGAGAAAAGAGAGAAAAGAGAGAAAAGAGAGAAAAGAGAGAAAAGAGAGAAAAGAGAGAAAAGAGAGAAAAAGAGAAGGAGAAAAGAGAAAAGAGAGAACAAAGAGAACAGAGAGAAAAGAGAGAAAACAGAGAAAAGAGAGAAAAGAGAGAGAGAGAGAGAGAGCGTCAATCGACTTTTTCCATGGCGCCATTGGGGTGTTCCCCCGCAGGAGGGTTTCGCAAAAACCCTAAACCCGAAACCCTAAACCCGAAACCCGAAACCCTGAACCCTTCCCTAAACCCTAAACCCTAAACCCTGAACCCCAAACCCCAAACCCTAAACCCGAAACCCTAAACCCTAAAGCCCGTGTGGAAGCCAAGACTCTTCTGCATTCAGCACGAGACCTTGCAATGCCAGCGTCGAAGGTTCTTGGATGAGGCCGGTGTGATCGCACTGGGCCACAACACAGCAAGGTTTAGGGTTTAGGGTTTAGGGTTTTGGCTTTAGCTGGAAATGCGGTGTAAGACAGGCCGAAAGACAGAATGGGGTGCTGGTGTGCACCTGCCTTCTCGAAAGTTCGATGCTGGGGAGCAGCCTCAAACGGCAGTGAGGGCACCAAGCCCGATAGGGCAGGTGCGTGACTTCCTAAACCCTAAACCCTAAACCCTAAACCCTAAACCCTAAACCCTAAACCCTAAACCCTAAACCCTAAACCCTAAACCCTAAACCCTAAACCCTAAACCCAAACCCTAAACCCTAAACCCTAAACCCTAAACCCTAAACCCTAAACCCTAAACCCTAAACCCGTGTTGGAATCTTCCTTCCGTGTTCGGTTCAGACACAAACTGCATGTCGGGCTGTCGCTCATCTTCATTGGCCGCTGAGCTTTAGGCCCCTGCTTTGCCTTTGTCGGGTGTGGGTCAGGGTTTAGGGTTTGGGGTTTAGGGTTTAGGGTTTAGGGGTTTAGGGTTTAGGGTTTGGGGTTTAGGGTTTAGGGTTCAGAAGGTATTTTGTTTAGGGTTTAGGGTTTGGGGTTTAGTTGACCAAGCGCGCTAGGGTCCACGAAAACTGCAGTTATGTCCCACACGGAGTGGCCGGTGTCCTCCATGGTCTGCCGACCGAACTCAGTCGCAAGGACACGCAGCTGTACACCAGCCCTGAAGACTCATAGTGGCTATGTTGAGGAGCCTTTGGTCAAATATTTTGTAGCATTCTAGTAGTCTAGTATAAATACACTGGTACTACAGGAATCCGTTTTCGTATTAGTATAGCATAGCATGAACATGACCAGCCCATTTCTTGGATTCAACATGTGCGCCTGGAGTGTATGTTGTTTAACAGTGCAGATGCATGGACTCCGAACATCTGAGGGTTTAGGGTTTAGGGTTTCAGGGTTTAGGTTTTAGGGTCGATCTCTCGCAAGACATGAGCCCTGGCTTGCCGAACCAACAAGCACTTCTGATTCATTGTCCATACCATTTCCCCATTCCGCCCCTTGCTTGAGAAAGCACCGGCGCTTGTCTGTGCAGTCGGCCAGCGAAGTTGTGCAGATGTATACAGATGCGCAAGCCCCTAGAGCTGTGTGTGCGGGTTAAGATATCCTGCTGTTGCTACACCGGTTTCTGCTGCCGCAACACTGGTGGAGCGCGCTTTTGTCGTGTGCAACCTGGCGGAAAGTACGTGTAAGGATGCCAAACATCCCGCGATACTTGGGGGGCCTATCCTGGGGTATTGCGGGTGCCTTATGTCCCATGCGGGACTGTCTGGCCGACAAAACCTGTTGCCATCACCCTTCGTCTTGCAGCCCACCTTTGTCATCATACTTGTGGTTGTTGCCGTTGGCGCTATCACGAATTTGATCATCACTGCCACTGTGTGCGTTGTTGATGGACTGTTTAGCTGGCTGTTGGCGGTGCAACGATCTTCAGAATGCAACTCTTGAATCAAGAGTCGGCCGGGCCCTACAAGTTTGCATCGAACCTTGTCAGTTCTAAAGAGTTCATGTCTCGCAAGGAACCGAACATCATCAACATCCTAGCAGATGACATGAGCTGGGGACAGCTGGGCTGGCAAGGCGGTGGCAAGCATTGCAAAGCGCCAGCCGACCCGTGGCAAACGTTAGAAGAGGGAACGGGCTTCCCTAAACACGAAACCCCACAACCCGAAACCCTAAACCCTAGCTGTTCAGCCTCGTTGCAAGCTACAGAGTTGTAGTGTGATTTAGGATGTTCCCCCTTATAGTAACAGTCCCTAGGGATTATAATGGGGGGGGGGGGGTACTATAATCCCTACGAAGGACTGGTTAAGGGGGAACCTCCCAACCCCAAACTCCAAACCCCAAACCCCAAACCCCAAACCCCAAACCCTAAACCCTAAACTCTAAACCCTACACCCCAAACCCTAAACCCTAAACCCTACTGCGTTTGCTGATGTAGCTTTTTTTGGTAGGATGGCCGCCATGGTCTGGACTGGATGTCCCAGTGTCTTCCGCAATGCTGCCCCACACTTAGGGTTTAGGGTTTAGGTTTAGGGTTTAGGTTTTAGGGTTTAGGTTTTAGGGTTTAGGGTTTAGGGGTTAGGGTTTAGGGTTTAGGGGTCAGGGTTTAGGGCATTGTCCTGCATCTTGTTCTTGAAGATCTCGGGCTTTGGGTGCCATGCTTGCGTGTCACCAGCCCCGAGCGTCAAGTTCAGAGATCGCATGAGTTGAAGCGTGTCGCACACATGTGGGGGTTTACGAAAATAGGGGACCCCCCCAGAAAAGTAGGATTCCGTCAGAATAAGGAGGTACCCCCTCAATTTCGAAAACCCCTATGTTTTGGTGCGAAGCGTCGAGGGTTTTTCCCCAAACAGGAACCGTTTGGGGTCCTCTCCTCAGAAAAAAGTGTCACGCGCTTGACCAGATGGGTGTCACGCGCTTCGGGCCTGTGGTCTCCCATGGTCTCCGATCATGAGCACAATTGAGACCATTCGGGTCGGTGGGTGTCACGCGCTTCGGCCTGTGCTCTCCCATGGCATTGGGGTCATTGGGGCCGGGTGGGCGTCACGCGCTTCGGGCCTGTGGTCTCCCATGGTCTCCGATCATGAGCACAATTGGGGCCATTGGGGCCGGTTGGTGTCACGCGCTTCGGGCCTGTGGTCTCCCATAGTCTCCGATCATGAGCACAATTGGGGCCGTTGGGGCCGGGTGGGCGTCACGCGCTTCGGGCCTGTGGTCTCCCATGGTCTCCGATCATGAGCACAATTGGGGCCATTGGGGCCGGTTGGTGTCACGCGCTTCGCCTGTGTGGTCTCCCATGGTCTCCGATCATGAGCACAATTGGGGCCATCGCGGCCGGGTGGGTGTCACGCGGTTGGGGCTGGTCTCCGAGCCATTGGGGCCGGGTGGGTGTCACGCGCTTCTGGCCCGTGGTCTCCCATGGTCTCCATGAACGCAATCGGGGCCATTGGGGCCGTGTGGGTGTCACACGCTTCGGGCCTGTGGTCTCGGGATCGGTGGTCACGTGCTTCGGGCCTGTGGTCTGGTCTCCAATCATGAGCACAATTGGGGCCGTTGGGGTGGGGTGGGTGTCACGCGCTGAGCGCAATTGGGGCCATTGGGGCGGGTGGGTGTCACGCGCCTCGGGCCTGTGGTCTCCCATGCTCTCCGATCGGGAGCACAATTAGGGCCATTGGGGCCGGGTGGGTGTCACGCGCTTCAGCGCGCTTCGGGCCTGTGCTCTCCCATGGTCCACAATTGTGAGGCCATTGGAGCGGGTGGATGTCACGCGCTTCGGGCCTGTGGTCGCATGGTCTCCGATCATGAGCACAATTGGGCCATTGGGGCCGGGCGGGTGTCACGCGCTTCGGGCCTGTGGTCTCCCATCGTCTCCCATCATGTCTC